AACAACTCCAACCACCTCCTCTTTCCACACCCCCACCGCCAGACAACCTCCACCACCGCACTCGCCGCACTTTTGCGAGCACAACGGTCCGGGTCCCGCCCCGTAGCCCGCCGCCAGCCCGCCCGGCACCAGCCCCCGGTCACGTGACCCCGGGCCCCCGCCCTTGGCCTCTACTCCCGCCCGCGTTCGATTCTCTCGGTTGCGGCCATATCTAGCAGAAAGCACCGTTTCCCGTCCGATCAACTGTAGTTAAGCTGCTAAGAGCCTGACCGAGTAGTGTAGTGGGAGACCATACGCGAAACTCAGGTGCTGCAATCCCTTCTTTTTTTCCGCGCGCCGCCGCCACGAGTCTACTAATGGTTCGATCAGTCTTCCCCATTTTTTCGATTATTTCCCTTAGACCCCATCTTGTATACTGGAGCGAGAATTCGGATGTAAGTTGGATTTAGTTGCAATCTTAAGATAATTGGAATCTCTGAACTTGCAGCATTAAGATCAAATTCTCATGACTTTATGTTGAGATAAGATGCCGAAGCCAACATATATTAAGAGATAAGATATCAGAATGCTACTATGACAAGGCATCTGAGTAATCTAAAACTAGAAAGTCTAGCCGCCGTGATGAATGTATAATAGAGGGTCTAGCCGAAGTTATAAGTGTATAAAAACAAGAGGTTTGTCTGTATTGTTTGAGAGTATTAGTTTGTAGGTTAGTTATATATAAATAAACAACAACCAGAGTGTTAAAAGGTACTACTAACTATGGATAATCAATCTAGAATAAACAGATTACAACATATACTACTAACAATGGATATTCAGCCAAGAATTAACAGATTACAGCACGCATTAGAGTAATCTAAACCTGGAAAAGAAGTTGATGCAAGAAACCTATAAATACAAGGAGCTTTTTCACCTTAATTTATCTATTCCAGATAGAATATTCATTATAAGTAGTATAGCTTATGTTAGATTTGTTGCTTTTTGTATAAATAAAACATAACCTACTTACAAACTCATTTTTTCAAAAACAAATACAAGGGACAAACCTCTGGTAATTGAATAGTCATCACATTGCTTAATCTTTCTAGTTTTTGATTACTTTGACGCCTTGCCTGTATAAGGCTCTTATCTCTTATCTATTCATTCTTATTGCCTTCGGCATTGTATATCAACAATTAGTAAGGATAGAGAGGCTAAAACAGAATGAGAGTCCAATTCCTCTTCTTCGGTAACAACAGTGAAAAGTGCGAAACTTCGTAAAAGTTCGAAAAAAATTCAAAAAACTCGAAAACTTGTTGTTAATTCAAGTTCTCGGCTATCGGCTCACTTTCTATACTCATAATAATTTTTACATTTTTTTTAATCGCGAAAAAATGTAGATGCTACAGATTGGGAAGGTTTTCCGATATCCGATGTTAAAAGGATTTGAAAACCTCACAAATTTCACAACATTTGGTTTTTTGTGCAAGATTTATTTCCTCCAAAAGTATAGTCCGAGCGTAGTCCCAGAAATTCCAAAAAACAGACCGAATTTTTTTCCATCACTTTAAATTATATAAAACCCTAATATAAAATGAAATTCCGAGTAAAAAGCTAATAGATTATCTAGTGTACACAATTCAGCTATATTCCGTGTAAGATGGTATATCAACATGGAAATTTGGATGGTTAGTGCTGAATATTGGATACATTTTGCCATCCTCTGCAATTCCAACCTCCAAGTCGCCACCGTGAGCAACTACTTTTTGCGACCCTGTTTCTTCATCGAATTCGCTGTCATCGTCAACATCGGCGACACGTTTTTTCCAGAGAGGGATGGATCTAAATTCCTCCTTCAAGTATTCGTCCACCAAGTCATCAGCCTTATCTGGGCTGTTGTCACCGAACCCTGCGTTCAACAACCCTCTGATAACCCAAGGATTTATGATTCCGCTAAAGTGCATTTCCCAATCAGGGCCACAGTAGTCGTTAATTGTCTTCCTCAGATCAAGAAGTGCTTGAACTGAAGTTGAGTCAACCGCTACTACCTGTGAGAAATCCAAATGTAGAATCCTGAGTTTTGGTTTCAACGTTCCGTCATCTGCTTCGTCTGCTCTAATTATACTGCTCGATGTGTCCGACTCAACATCAAGTTCTTCACTCCTATTTCTAAGCAACCTCTTCAAACCTTTGAATTTAGTAAACTTTTTGAAGTTGAAGTCCCAGTTTTTCTCCTCCCAGGTATATTCACACCATAACCTTTCTCTATCACTTTTGTAAGGTCTCATAGTGTCTCGCACTTGACTTATTATTTGATCAATTTGGAGTGAACAATTTGTATAAATGAAATTTTCTGAAACTCTGTAAACTAAGATTCCTGAAGGAGGATCCTCAACGTTAATCTGTGCATTGACATATCTAGTATGCACAAAGCTTGGATTTGAGGCATTGTTTGGTAATGGAACCCATTTATACTGATAAGAGGTCAAAGAACTAATCGATACCGTTGTTTCGACCTCTGTTGTCTTAACAAAGCTCGTTACATCTGCGTTATCATTTTTGAGCTGTTGGATTGAATTCGAGTCACCTTTAGCTTCTTCTATTGCTGAATCCAAATCGGTCTGCTGCTCGGAATTCTGAGGTCTAGCATTCTTAACCAGAAGTGGATTTCTGATAGTTGCAACTTTGACACGGCCTAAGAATGCACCATTCGGAAGTAACATTCTCCATAAAACAGTAGCACAAGAAGCGCAAATAGCCCAATAGATACCATCCTCAATACTTGCAAAAACTGTAATGAAAACACCCACAATGAAAATGACGAAGTCCACTGGGCTAAACATATAGAGTTTTGCGGTCAAATCATAAGATGCAAGTAGTCCAGTAACACAATGAATAATAATAGCACATAATGTAGCATTAGGAATGTAGTAGAAACCTCCCGTGAAGCAATAAATGGCCAATAAAACACAGCCACCTGAGAATGCAGATTTGAACGGCGTCTTCACACCACACTTTGCAGAAAGCGCTGTTCTTGAGAATGAACCAGTAACTGGGTATGCGTTAAAAAAGGTTCCAACCATATTCGTGAAACCAATAGCAATAAATTCTTGATTCGGATTGACTCTATATCCATTAATTCTGGCAAAGGATTTGGAGATTGAAATGTGTTCTAAGACAAGGACTATGGTGGAAATTGGAATGTCAGAGGCTAACTTAGCGGCTAGCGTTGGTTTTGGCACAAACCTACCAACATGTCTCAAACCTGAAGGAATGACACCTATAATTGAGTAAGGAGGCTTTTCCTTTTTAGGGTGATACCTCAAAATACCATAAGAAATACAAGTTGAAATGATGATCACAAAAGCAGTTCTCAAGTTCAATAAGTAGATGAATGCCATCTTTCTCCTTGTATTGTGTTTATTCCTTTCGATAAGTTTATTAAGGACAAATTGCCAAAGATAGAGAATGAAGAGTCCAACTAATCCGTAGGCAGCATCTACTTTTGTATCAGGAAGATGTTTCAAAAATTGTATCATGGTCAGATAAGTGGTATCTTCTTTCTTGACCTTATTCTTGTATCCCATCAATCCTGCTAATTGTCCCGTGACAATATTGAATGCAGAACCAGTTGTGAATGCTAAAATAGCAGGTAATGAGATAAGCTCAACAATAAAGCCTAATCTTAACAAGCCAATACCGAGAACGATACCTCCGCTGATGAGGGCCAACGTGGTGGCTATTTCGTTTGCTGTGAACTCATCTCCATATTTGGCCTGAACCCTGGTGACAATTTTACCCACTTCTGTACTCAAGACTGCCACGGGTCCAATACAGATTTCTCTTGAAGTAGCGAAGATGAAGTAGAAGAACACACCAATAAAAGCAGAATAGAGACCATATTCAGGACTCAACTCTGCTAATTTGGCGTAAGACATCGACTGTGGAACTAAAACGATGGCCACCGTCACTCCAGTAATGAAGTCGGATAGAATCCAATCAGGATGTGATGGATAATGTGGAAACCATTCCATGAAAGGAAATAATCCTTTGACATAGTTTAGTGATCTTTTGACAGGAGATCTGAACACATTCTTGACATAGTCATCACCTCCAACCAATTCTTTATCATTATATTCTGGAACCTCGATGTACGACAGCTCCCTGTCGTTTATTGAGGTATAGTTTGTATTGGCCATGATTTCTATCTGTCAAAACTCACCGTCCTATCCAGCGTATCCTCCAAAATATACTGGAGAACATCATTTCAGTTCAGCTGGTCATCGAAAAAAAAAACGTTGATACTGGGGTCCCTTTTTATCGTTTCCGTTGGCGATGGAGCTCATCCCAAGTCCCTTCATTCTAGGTTGATGCCACAATCCAAGATCAACGCAAAGTTTGTATGTAATGAGAAAAAATTGTCACCAAGTCACGTGCACTTACAAATTCTCTTCTCGATGCGGGAACTGAGGCGTAGGCATCACTCACACAGATTTGTATAGCGTCATCGATACAAGATTGCTGTGGGAGCGACGATGGGACGGCTGGGCAAATTTTCTTTCACCTGGTAATAATTCCTCTCCACATCGAAGGAAATAATTGATGGCGGACTTAATTGTTCCTAGATCAGCTGAGTTACCATTACTTTACATGGTTTTTCTAGTACAGCGATGCCCATTGTGGATACCGACCAGATCGACGCCTTAACGTTAGAGAGGGGTAAAATAAAAAGCGGAGTTTGAAATGATCAACCATCAGCCATATTTTCATGTATCACGTATTTCATCCCTTCTTGTCGTAATTAACCCGGAAAAATGCTCTTTCTCGATACTGTGGAACCTTGAACAATTGCGAAAGTTTTCTGACTTTAGAAAGGAATCACAAAGTTGAGTTTGCTCGAATTTTTATTTGGCGTCTTACATTACCTAGTCCAGAGGGGTGCTTCCAATAAGCGGTGAAGCCAAGCCACAATCCAGCTCAAAAAGTGAAAAGTGGGGTGTCTGAAGCGTGAGAAGCTAGTTTCTTTTTCCCGAGAACCAAAAGGCATTGAGGCTATAATCTCCACTAGACCTTGTGCCCTTTTTATTCCCTTCTTCTCGGATTGAGAGCATGATTTCTGGATTTTCCGATTTCAAAAATTTAGCTCAATTTCAGTTCCTAGTGGAGATAAGTAATGTTTCCCTTGGCCTTCAATGTTGGCAAAACAATAATCACATTCTAAAAACTCAATACGAGAAAGACTACAAAAGATGGACTTCTCACTAGCAATTTATTATGAGCTTTCTGAAATATTGACACCGGTTACCAGTTGGCATTTCACTCGAATTGCAGTATTACTGGATAATATAGTTAATCCTTTCATATTTCTGCAGACATGTGTATTGACACAAGCCATGATTTCACTGTTGATTTAGGATGCCATGCTTCTTAAAAATTCAGATCTAAGCAATTCAAAGAGAAGAGGTAAGAATGATAAGTTGAAGGGATGGGATTGCGACATAAAGATCAGATACTTATACTTATGATCATAAGGCATTAGAGTAATTCAAAAGTGTAAAGAATGATTAATCCAAGAAGCCTCTGCTATAATATATATATATATATATATTGGATAAGAAACAAACATAAGAAATGGAAACCATAAACTATGGAATTGATAGCCAGATAGATAGAATTTGCATCCACAGATAGGTATTGATAGCCTGATTTAGCAACTGACATCCATTTTTGAAACGTAAAAAATCAGACGAATTCCAAAAAAGTTTAGACAACATATTTTTATCTGAAAATCTCAAATTTCAAATGTGTGTGACTTTTATTGGATGTATGTTCATCATTGAATTCATTCTGATGCCTAGGATTTAGAAAAAGCAATGCTGGCTATGTTGAAAATAAGCTATAAAGACAGCAAAAAGATAAAAATAAGATGGCTCGGTGAGATTGAAACCTAAAAAACTTGTCAGGCATTAGAATGATCTAAACCTGAACAGATCGAGCGATATACTGAGTCTGTGCATACAAAAGGTGCCTCGAATTGATACTTGAAGCTTATTATCATATCGATTCAGCTTACTTCGAAGCCTTATAACAAAAAACAAAGATAAAGCATCAAAACCTACTGGTCTCTAGCAGGATCGAACTGCTGATCTTGGCGTTATTAGCACCACGCCTTAACCAACTGGGCCAAGAGACCTTTTGGTTGCGATTTTGGAGTACCTCTTTTTAGACTCTTATATAAAACAACTTTAGATATTAAATAGGGCCATGTCTGCACTTAGTATATCAAAAGAGGCCATTACTGCATTTAACATTATTTCTGTTGTAATCTAGCTATTCTATTATGAATATCCATTGTGTATGTTCACTTTTTCTTATGTTCGTTGCTTATTGATATATAACTAATATAACTAACCTACAAACTAATACTCTCAAACATAAATACAAGAGGGACAAACCTCTTGTATTTATACACTTACACCTTCGGTTAAACTTGCCATTATTGGCGGCTAACTTTCCAGTTTTAGATTACTCAAGATGCCTTGTCATGATAAGACTCTTATATCTTATTACTCAATCCTTATTGGCCTCGGCATCTTATCTCAACACTAGGATACCTTATCATGATAAGATTCTTATCTCTTATCCCTCGATCATGATTGGCTTCGGCATCTTATCTCAACACCCCACCATAATCTAAACACTTGTAGATATGCTCGACATTCCAGCTAGACCAACAAACTTATTGAATTTAATCTTGGCTAAACTTTTAGTCAACATATCAGCAACCATATTTTCAGTGTTGATTGAAACTATCTCACAGTTTCCTTCTGAAATATGATGTCTAACAAAATGATGTTTAATATCAATGTGTTTGGTTCTCTGGTGATGGACCGGATGCGTTGATAACATCCTGCACCCTTCGTTGTCTTCAAAGATGCAGGGGACTTTGTTCATTTTAAGTCCAATGTGTTTCAACAGTTGTGTTAACCATAGTAATTCTTTAACTGCGTCACCTAGTGCCATATACTCTGCCTCAGTAGATGATAGCGCCACCGTCTGCTGTTTCGTGGATTTCCATGTTATTGCAGTATTTCCTAACATGTAAACATAACCGGTAATCGACTTTCTGTCAACCTTATCACCAGCCCAATCGGAATCGCAGTAATCAACTAAGTTGAAACTCGTGGTCTTCTTGAATACTAATCCTAAACCGAGAGTACCTTTTATGTACCGAAGAACATGTTTAGCAGCAGCATAATGATTTGCATACGGGGTTTTGATAAACCTTGACAGGGCCGAGGCCGCATATGACAAATCGGTCCTCACTGTATTCGCAGCAAACAATAATTTCCCCACCATGGTGCGATACAGGGAAGCATCTTCATCAGACAGCGGCTTACCCTCAGGGGCCAAGGACGAACCAGCAGCAAGGGGAGTCTGAACTGTATTACAGTCAGACATATTGAAATCACCCAAGAATCCTGCTAAGTACTGACCGAGATGCATGGAAACCACACCAGGACGTTGGGAAACTTGCATCCCTAAGAACCGAGAAACTGCACCAAGATCCTTCATTTTGAAATGAGAAGACAGAAAGTCTTTGACGGAATCAATTGAAGAAGGAGAGTTGGAGAGGATCAATAAATCGTCAACATATAAGGCAACAAGTGTAACCGACTTCTCAATAACCAAAGAGTAAACACCAAACTCAGACATCGACCGCACAAAGCCAAAATCTATTAATACCTGATTGATTCTAACATTCCAGCAGAGGGGTGCTTGTTTCAAGCCATAAAGACTTTTATTCAGATGGCACACTTTTGAACCAGCAGCAAGAGATCCAGGGAGAAGCTGCATATAAAGCTCCTCATGCAAATCACCGTTCAGGAATGCGGTGTTTACGTCCATTTCATGAATGGTGAGATCAAACC